GCCCCGCCTGTCCCACTGCGGCCGCGAGCCGGAGGTTAAACCTTGGTGAGTACTTTGGTCCAAAATCTTTCCAACCACCCTCTCTAGGACTGGCCTCCTTTACACTTCGCAGCACCCACAGGCGAGAATGGCACTCTTGTTACTAAGGATGGCTCGCTTATCCTGTGCCACAGCCGCCTACAGGATGGAAATGAGTTAGCCAAGTTCTCGCAGCCCGGTACTCACCTCCCGGAAGGATCTTGCTTATCCTACACATTTTCAAAGGTGTCCAGAGAGCAGCGGTTGCATCCGGAGAGAGGGATTGGGGGCAGGGGACGAGGGAGAAGGGTAGCAGATGCTGTACTGATTGTTTTCCTCCAAGTACAAGCATTGCACATTCTTTTTTTTTTTTAAAGATGGGTGTAATTCAGGGTTAAGTATACAAATGTTAGGTATACAATTCATTGTACAGGTAAAGTTTGGAAAACCGACAAAAACTGGTTGTGGTGACTCATGCCTGTATTCCCAACTCTTTCGGAGGCAGGCGGGGGATTGGAGACCAGCCTGGATAATATAGCGAGATCCTCATCTCTAAAAACAAACAAAAAAAAAACAGTTTAAAAATTTTGCGGTGGTTGTTGTGCATACCGGCCATCCTAGCCATTCCGGAGACTGAGGCAGGAGGATCGCTGGAGCCCAGGAGTTTCATGGCACCTCTGCACTCTAGCCTAGGAGACAGAGCAAGACCCCGTCTCTTATTAATTAAAGAAGAAAGAAGATGGGCAGATTATCAACTTTCTTTTCATTATATATATACCTGCAGCAGTACCTGAAACAGTTGGTGTTAAATAATATTTATTAAATAAATCAGTGAATGCAGTGCAATGGAGGAAAATAAGGAATTTGAAATCATAAGTGCTGATTTGGATCTGGGACTACCCCAATGCCAGTTGTGCAGTTGCATACACTTTTACATATCATTTTGTCTCTGTATTTCCATCTGTAGAATGGAAATAATATCATCCACCATCCCTATCTCAGGCAAATAACAGAGTCAAATAAAATAGGGCATATGAAAACATTTTTAAAACTGCTTAGCATTAAACACATAAAAATGTGTTTTTATTGTTGCTTCCAATATTCTTTCAGTAACATATTTATAGATTTAACATTAATATATCTCTTGGACTTGGCAGTTGTAAGCATTCTTAAACACTTCATTTAAAAGTTAATACTATTTAACAACACCCTGACTTCAGATCTCCTTTTGCAACTACAATGGATTGTTTTCTTTAGTGGTGACTCTTGCCTATCCACTGAGAATGTGTGTAGGTGGCCATCCAGGCTACTCCCCAGAAAGTGCTGTTTGGGGTGGTGCTGAAGACAGATACCATCTTCATCCTCTTTGGTCAACACCCTTAATAGCAGTAAGGCATGTTGGCTTCTTCATTCATTTAGCAAGTATTTATTAGTGGCTGCAATGTGCTGAGCGTTAGTATTGGAAAAGCAGTAATGAACAAGATAGACAAGGTCTTGACACCTAGGGAGCTTTCTTTCTAATAGGAGAGAGAGGCAATGAAAATAAATTAAGTACTGTTTTTTCATGGGCACTTTGAGGAAAATCAATAGAGTGATGTAATATAGACAGTATTTGGGGTTGGCCCATTTTGAATATGATGATTGAGCAAGGCTTCTCTGAAGAGGCGAGATTTGAGTAGACACCTGTAAGGAAGCAAATCTGTTGTTATCTGGACAGAAGGAAGACTACGCAGACTCGAGAAAGAAGTGTGCTTGACACATGTGCAGAACAGCAAGGAAGTGGACACTTCCAAAGTGGTAAGAAATGAAAACAAGGAGATAGCGGGTGCCAGACGATACACAGCCTTGTCACAATAAAGCCTATGGGTTGCATTCTGAGAGAAATGGGAAGCACAGGGAGCCTTTTGAGCAGAGAACTGACAAGACTTGACTTCAGCTTTAAGTTACCCTCTGGTTGCTGTGTGACTGCAAGGCATGCAAGGACTAACTTGGGATGACCTGTAATGAGATGATGATTGCATAGTGTCGTCAATGGGAGGGTGACACATGGTCTGGATGTATCTTGAAGATTGAGCTGTCATGGTTTACAGATGGATTGGATGTGAGCTGTATTTGTTTCATAAAACTACCATAACAAACCACCAATACTAATTGTCCAAAAACAACAGAAATGTGTTCTTACACAGCTCTGGAGACTAGAAGCCCAAAATCAGGGTCTCAGCAGGGCTTCCCCAAAGGCTCTAGGGGAGAATCCTTACTTGCCTCTTCCAGCTTCTGATGGTTCCAGGTATTCTTTGGCTTGTGCCAACATCACTCCAGTCTCTGCCTCTGTCTTCACATGTCTCTGTATCTCAAACCTCCCTCTGTCTTTCTCTTATAAGCATTTAGTGCCCACACTAAGCCCAGAATGATATCATCTCAAGATACTTGAGGATCTTGCAAAGATTCTATTCCTACATAAGGTCACATTCACAAGTTCCAGGCAGATATAATGTCTTCCTGGGGGCGCTATTCAACTCACTATATGGACAATGAGAACCAGGAATCATCTAAATGAGCAAGATTATAAGATGGACTTTCTCAATGTGATTGAGATTGACCAGCTCAATCTTCAAGATACATCCAGACCATGTGTCACCCTCCCATTGACGACACTATGCAATCATCATCTCATTACAGGTCATCCCAAGTTAGTCCTTGCATGCCTTGCAGTCACACAGCAACCAGAGGGTAACTTAAAGCTGAAGTCAAGTCTTGTCAGTTCTCTGCTCAATTACATTTACTATATTTATATTTCACTGACCACTTTTCATTTGAACTTCAAAAGAACTTTGTGTAGCAGTTATTATTATTCCAGTATTAGAAACATGGAAACTAAAGCTCTGAGAATTGTGTGTAGAGCTGGAATTGGAACCCAGATTTCTTAGACTTTACCCCACCTGCTTGCCTGCTTTTTTAGGCAGTAAGGCAAGAAGATGAGTTTGTTTGTAATGATGGGGTAACACAATGTTGCCCAGGCTGGTCTTGCAATCCTGGCCTCAAGCAATCCTACCACCTTGGCCTTCCAAAACACTTGGGTTACAGTTGTGAGTCAATGGAAAATTATAACCTAATGTCAAAATAAAAAAAACTGCTTAGCTGTTTTTCTTTTTCTTTGTGTTTGCTTTTATTTATTGCTAACAACTCACCAAGTTTTGGTTGTTTTTTTGTTTTTTATAGGAAGTCTCTAGTACACAGTAGAGTTCATTTGTAAGTTATAATGAGCAATAGAATGCTATTGTGGAATTTTGCTTTTCTTCTTCAAAAACATAGGAAAATAAAACTATTTTTCACTTGAGTTGAGGCTTTTGTTCTAGCTTAAATCAGATATGGGGTCTATTATTAAATATTCTTAAGACTGTCTATATTCATATGAATATTCAAACATGTTATCTTTAGGTAGATAGGAGATAAGACTGAGACCAGGCATCTGCAGCATAACCAGGAGCAGAGGCAGAGCTAATTCTGGTAGATGATGGGCTCTGCTGAGACAACAGGCTGAGTTACACAACCGAGAACACTTCAGCAGATGAGCCAAGATTTCTGGCCAAGACATAGAGATCAAGGGCCCATGCCCATGCCCACACCCACGCCCAACCATGCAAAGAGGATAAGTTCCTTAGGCAACTAGAAGGAGGAAGGTTGTTTCAAGTGTTGCATAGGATATACTGTGCTAAAAAAAAGTTTTCACTGTTCATTGGAAATTCAAATTTACGAGGCAAGTGAGCTGAGACTTAGAGCCTGAGAGGCAATGTAGTATAGATTGAAACATTAACTGGCACCAAACAACCTAGACCAGAATCCTGGCTCTGGTTGGTCAAGAGCTAACCTTGAGCATTTCATTTAAATAGTTTTTCCATTTCTTTACCTATGCAGAGTGACAAAGATTCATATTAATACCCTCATCACAGTTTTTTACATAAAAATTAAATTACTTAATATGTGTGAAGTGCTTAGAAGAATGTCTACCTCACAGTGTTACCTCTTATTTTTTGAGTTTTAAATTGTTCAAATAGTATTCTCAAAATAGCTATTTTAAAGCAAAAAGACTTTTATTTCATTAAGTCTGAGTTTTAGATCCCAAATCAGGGACTTGTTTGTTTGTTGTTTTTCTTTCAACTAAAACAAAATTTAATTACATACTGAGTGATTCTACCTCTCAGTTTGTCTGGAGCACTCCCCCTTTAGGGCTGTTGACCTGCAAAATTATTTAAAGTATCCATCTCTTATCCTCACAAGTGTTGCAATTTTGACAGTAGCTCTTATGGTTATCATACAGAGATATTAAGAAGTTGCTCTTTTTGTACATGTGAGTTATAGTGTAAAAATTTCAATACCTGCTGTTCTGTGACGAGGCCATATATACAAAGTAACCCCAAATGCCTAAGGAGCTGAGAAACCAAAGAAGGAAGCAGACAAATCCAGTTATTGGTTTGGGGTGATTCGTTAGGGGAACTTACAAACAGAAAGGTAGTCTTGGATTGCTGCAAGACAAGTACATCTTCTCACTGCAACCTCCTAGATCCAGAGCTTATATAATCTGGGAGACAAAACATACATGCTCTGGAAGGAATGCATAGTATGGGCATCACAGCCTATGATTTCTAGAACAAGAGTTGCTTTGGTGAAACTTACAATGAATAGATGTACCTACATAAAGAGTAATGCATCAACTAGACATTTTGGAGGCTTTCCTGAACTTGGGGTTAATCAGAAGTTAATGGTGGAGTAGTGTTTAAAATAAAGTCACTCATCCCCACACCTTTCCTTTGACCCCAAACATATAACCACCCTTTTAATTTTCTTTAAAAAATGACTATCTTTCTAAAATATATGATTCCTCATTGGTAAAAATCTCAAAAACTCAACTTACCCTTGCTTTCTAGACTCTTCTTTTTTTCCTGCTTCCTCCTCCATATTCC